CAAATCGTCGGAGTGCAGAGCAATAAATGGAGGATAATCTCTCCGGGCGGCCATGGAATGTCCGCTCCTCGCTCCTTTATTTATTTCCGGCGCCACGATGTTGCACTTAGCCTTTCGTCCGTGGAGGAACGCGCGGCGGTCCCCCTGCGCGAAGATCACCCCGGCGTGACCTTCTATCTTCGAGGCTAGTGTGCGACGATAATAAAGACGTTTTAAGCACTTTATACAAGCGCGCGCGGTCTTTCTCTCTTTTTCTCTCGCAACGAGAACCAAAAAAATATACAGCGCGTGCGGCCGGGAGTTTATTTTCGACCATGAAGAATGAAGGCAGAATGCACTCATGGATGCACCGGCCGGCCTCCGCCGCCGCCCTGCCCGCCCTCTTGTTCCTCACCAACTGACTATCCAACCCCCTCTTTTTGTTTGTCGCTCCGGCGATGATCGAAATCGACGTATTTTAAGTGTCATATAACAGCGTGCTCGCAGCCATTGAAAAAAAGTCCAACGCGAAACATTTATTTTTTCAGCCAGCAATAGAGATGATATTTGACTGGAAAGGGCGGAGGAAAAAAAGGAATCAAACCGATTGACCGATGTTTTTCAATCTTCAAGAGCAACGTTGTGCGTTGACGCCGTGCGTGGATTTTTCTTTCACCCTTTCTTTTTTTTTTTTAATAAATAGTAATTACGGCAACGATTTTTATTGAAAGAAAAGGAAGGGGAGCGTTAATTGTCAGTCACGAATTGGTCGACAGACGACTTGAGTGTCGTTGTTTGTCTTGTTTGGCAGCTCTCATGTTTTTACATATTACATTATTCATAGACTAATGGCTTGGCCCAGTAGCCTTCCAACAAATTCGTACGCCACCGGAGGCGGAAGGAGAGGAGAGAAGCCTCGTGCAGCGCCTGCAACGCGACACCGCGCGCGTCAGAGAAAATTTTGAGAAGAGAGGCGACGAGAACGCAGCACGCGGAGCGGGCCCAGGGGGATCATCATCATCCGAGTCGCGGCGCCGCCTAGATCATCTTAATCAGCATCGCCGCGTTATCTCGCGTTTGGGCGATACACGCACGTTCCTCCGTCATCAGACATCGGATACCCAGAACAGCGACAGCGGTTCCGTTATCGTCGGCAGCAATGACGCGCCTCTTCAGTCGCCGGCGACGACGACGACGGCGACGACGGCGACGACGTCGTCGTCAATCCACGAGAGCGACTCGTCGCCGCCCAAGTGGCGCGTTTCTCAAAATGCAGCGGATGCACTTCGTGCAGAGGATGCTGACGGCTCTCTCTTTCTCACTTCGTATCTGGCGTGTTGCATTGGCCAGCGCAAATAATCGCGTTGCGGCCAGGACGGCGCACGCGTCTTATCGACGCCGGTCGATTTTTCGGTATGCAAAACAACAAGTTGCCGACGGTAACCGTCGACGGTTTATCTCGATCGCCGGCTCATTGTTTAAAGTGCGTTATGGCAGGAAGTGCAAAAGAGAGAGAAAGAGAGAGAAAGATAAAGAGAGAGAGTAGAGCAAAGAAAAAGAGAGAGAGAGAGGGGGGGGGGATTAAACGTGGGGGAGGGCATCAACGAGCGTCCCGGACGATTTTATCACTAGCGATTTCGATTCACTTCCGCTCGCGCGGCACGTTCGTCGTTAATTACCGATTGATCAGCCCGGTGACTCGGAGTACCCGGCGCGACGCAATCGACGACCGTTCACATAAATTGCTATACACATATTTATCGTAATTATACTCTGCAAGAAGTATAGACGGCGTACAAAGAGGGCAATAAGTTAATCGAGATAGAAACACGATCCGCATATATGGAATTTTGCAATAAAAATTACTATACTTTGTACTGAGGAATAGATCCTGCGATAGTTCACTGTCCTTTCGTTTCATGTGCGCTACTCACAGGAAATTCTTGAGAGATCCTCGTATATTGACTTTATTACTTGGAGAATTTTTTTATTTAAAGGCTGATAATCATTTTTAAAATCATCTAAAGTTCCCTGCGTCTCAGCGCGTCGCCACGCGCACCAGCTTGATGAACCCGGCGGACATAGGTTTAGGAAATGCTCCTTATTGACAGCCTATTCCTGAGCTACTAAAAACATAGTAAAATTGAAAGAATTCCTCCGAATAACACAGACCATTCGCCGTGTTATCGCGTGAAATTCACTTCGCCCCGCTCTATCAATCCTTTTTTCTCGCTCGTCGTCACGGCAGTCTGCGTTTCATCGAGCGTGCGCGTTATATCATGTTCAAACGAGGTAGTTAAATCGTTCGATAACAGCTCCCGGGGGAGGACTTCGGTCCCGTATTTGACGTTTTTTGTCTGTTGCAGACGCCCACGAGACGCCCCTGTCCCGAGGGGCTCGCCGGGACGCCGCCCCTGCACGCGGGATCTCGCTTCAATTTCCGACAGCGTGCGCGTTAAATGACTAACTAAATAATTACGGCACTCTAATCATCGACGTTGCTAAGATAATACCGCAGTCGTTCAAATTTTCGCTCGAACCTTCCTTCTAATTTCGATCCTAATTCTAATGTCTGGTCCTAACGATTAAAAATTGTCTACCGGACATTTCTAAATCCTCGAAATACGAATAACGTTAGCTTTTCAGGCCGTGAAATGAATCATCAATTATCATAAAACAAAGTGCGCCACTGTCCTCATATATTAGCGGAACTTTTGAGCGAGGAGTGCCTTCGTCAAAGGACACAGAGATCCGTCCGAGCCGATCCATGCGAATCGTGGTCACCACGTCCTGTCACGAAGGAGGAAGTGGGAAGCACCACCGTGGCGGGACCAGTGCATACACATACATACACAGCACCACGTCATGCTACGGGGAACGTATCGAATTTCTTATGGCTTCTGTGTATTCCCATGGACGGAGGCAGGAGGTCAGAGATGCGTCTACGAGGTGTTCGCGAATTAATGTACGCACGATTCCGCGCACGAAAACGGGACTTCGCGATGGAAACATGCCGTCAGCGAGACGTTGGTGATGCTACCGGGAATGCTGTGCACCTTCTGTTGTGTCACGTATCGCGGGTGAAAAGTAATTCTCCTATGTGAAAATTGAACCCAACGGAATTATACTTCGACAACAAGCTGAAGTTACTTTGGTCTAAAGAACAAGTAATCGATTCGAGTCGAAGAATTGGCAAAATAGGAGACGATCGAGAAGTAATCCCGACGGGATCGTGCAGATTGAATCGAGGTTCTTCGCGTCGGGGCTAAATAGCGCGAAACATAATTAATCCTAGGGCAAAGATCACGCGCGAGGATTCGCGGACACCCTATAGTCGTGTCCACGACGATGAATCCTACAGACCTATCCGGTGGCTTTCGGGATATCGTGGATACGCGTGCGGCATCATTCGCCGCATATTAATTACAGGAAATCCCACAAAGCTCCCTTCCTACCCCACCTAACCTTTGCGTTATCACCCATCCAGCAATATCGCAGAAATATCGTATTCGCTCAAACTGCTCGATTGCGTCGCCCGCGACCTTTTTCGCGAGAACGTGGTGCATTCAGTGTCGCTGCGGAAAACGACACACGCGATTCTATTTCCAGCTGTTTGCGCGAGCTTTGACAGCTTCAACGTAACGTCATTATTGTCTCATTAGTACCATCTTCACCCGCATAAAACACTTCTTTGGATCTCTAGTTAGGGTGCAACCCGACTGCCTAAAATAATTGTAAGTTGCGATTAGAACTGTGATGTTTCAAACGTTTGATTCTCAGTGAAGACACCTAAAATATTATATTATTTTCTCTGGTCTTCATTTTACGTTAAAATTGTGTGAAACATGCTAATATTTCAAATAATTTCATAATTTAGTAAAGTACGCTCATTTTTAAAAATATTTTATTTTTTGACTCTTTATTCTATCGAATACAATAGCAAAAGGTAGGATTTCCTGTTTGATATTATAAAAAATACACTGACTGAAAAAAGCGCGAAATGCCATAACATTTCTGTTTCGGTGCTGAACAGAGAATTTATTTCGTATGAGAAAAGAATGGAATCCCCAATTGGTATCGCAGTGGGGTAATCAATTTGGAGACAAATTCTAATTAGAAATTTCTATGCGAGTACTTATTCCGACGATAAAGTCGATTAAGTCGATCCGCTGGAGGATTATGTCTTTCGTCTCGTGATCCAACCAACACCGATATTGTCATTCGCGGGGCAAAAAGATACCGAACATCAGACAGACGAGTACGGATCTACATCCGTGACTAAAATACACGAAACTACATCGTAACGCACTGGACACTCAAAACATGCGCGGCTCTTCGTCTTCTTCATCTTCTTCTCGACGCGTATTTTCGCTCGCAGCGGCGATTATCGCCGCGAGCTGATAAATTTTGCGAAGGAATTCGCGAGAAATCAGTACCTGTCAGCGGCCAGATGGCCGAGCCAGTAGTTATTTATTTATTAGCCGCTCACGTACGGAAGAGGAGAGAGGTGGGTAGCGCGAGCAAGCGAGAGTGAGGAAGAGAGAGAGGGATGAGAGAGAAAAAGAGAGAGCGCGTGCATGCGACACGACGCTACACGGCGGAAGGCATCGCATTACGTAGTTATGGGGCCTTCGCTCGTTTCTAAAATCGGATGTAGAGCAACGACCTTCCAAACAACACCGGACTGCTTCTCTGTACAGACGCGAGCGCGAACGCGGGCTTCTATCCGCGAGAGACGAAAATTCCACGTTAACGTCCACCAATTACACAACTGCGTGTACCCGTAGGACACTTAGATATATTGCCGGATGTTACTTGCTCGGCGTGTTGCTTGACAGTACGGTTGTTACATTGAGTTATAGCTCGGAGCCGAGCTATCGATTTTATCTAGATACTTTCTTAATTATGCACTTTCTAGATTATGTCAGTTGCGTATCATTACTCTGAACCTATAGCACGCTACTGTTCCCGATTTCAACGTTCCCAACACCTTTTACTTAACAATAGCGTCAAAGACTCACCTATGCTCAGCGGCGCGATCTCTCTGCCTTCGGTTTTTGAACCAGTTGCTGACCTGCGTGGTGGTGAGGCCAGTGCTCTCCGCCAATTCTCGCTTTTCACGCGGCGACGGGTACGGATTGGTGGCGTACCAATCCCTTAGGACGCTCCTGGACTTCTCCTTGAAGCAATAGGACGTCTCCTCGCCGTCCCAGATCGTGCGCGGCAAGGGAAACTTACGACGCACCCGGTATTTTCCTGAAAGAGAAGTACGGCCGCGAACCTCTCGATAAATAAGAATCAGAAGAGGTCAAATTAAAAATAAAAAGAGAAATATTAAAATTATTGTAAATATCCAAAATAATCCTAATTTCGATAGTAGTCACTGTGCTGATGAGCGATTTCAGAAAATTGCATGATTAATCGAATAACTCGGCAATTATCGGCAAGCCGTCGCCGTCGCGAAAAACGGAAGAGGAAGTAACGCGCGTTGTCGCACACTTTGATTCTCCTTAACGCGCGCACAGTTTCTAACGCGCCTAAGTCGTACTTTGTTTCCATCTTCTCTTTTTTGGAGACGGATTTGGTTTCTGGGCCGAGTGCGACGCCGACGTCGGCGTCGTGTGCGCGCGAGAGACGATGCGAGAACGACATGCACCGGTTGCAATAAGATTGAGCGAGTAAAACAGGGCCAAGTCTATACCGCTCATTAGCTCGGGTTGCATTCGGTAATAACTTACTCCAGCCGTTCTGCCTGTTAATGCCCCAATCGCGCGGCATTTATTTTCGCACGTGCACACGAAAGAGAGAAAGAATATGAGAGTATGAGGGTTATAAAGTGTAAAGTATTAAAGTGTGAAAGAATATGAGAATGTGTGAGAGAGTGTGTGAGAGAATATGAGAGTATGAGAGTGTGTGGGTGTGTGTGTGGTTGTGTGTGTGAGAGAGAGAGAGAGCGTGCATCGCACATTAAAACAGCGCGATTTAAAATGCCGATATATTGTCTAGGTTTCATGCGTGATATAATATTCTACCGCCGATAAATCTCTCGTCGCAAAGGATCATCTTCATAAACCACACGGAGAGCGAATTATTAAACCGCTGGCTGCGTGAAATACGGAGAAGTTCCTTCGTCGCGCGACGCGAAGTCACGTATTCGTGACGATATTTTAGTTGTAATATAATATAATATTTCAAAGCTACAGAGAATCGTGTATGATTATTTTATGATAACATAAAAGCGAGACGCGTTAAAATTAAGCACCTTTTGATATGTTATTTCCTAAATTATTTCATTTTGCAAATACATCCCGATGTGTTGTATCGCATATTCTGCGAATTCACGTATCTGTATAAATTATCAGAATCGCACGATTGGGAAATACAGGATAAGCGATCTCCGACACATCGCGTTCGAGCATTAGATTATCAATTTGCGATGCGAAACGCGGCTGCGAGCATTTTTGTATCCGCCCGTACTTAATAAATCTTTCATTCCGGAGCGCAAAAAGTTGATCATACCGACGTTACTTGCACTTTCAATGACTCTTTAATCCGTTCGTGCGTCGCGCTATTAATTTATCCGGGGAGAATTATGCCAGTGAGGAGCTTACATAAACTCTCCTCATTACCTTCTTATATTGATTGAGTGCAAAGTGTTCTATTTTTCAAAATTATGAAAGATAGTTTTCATTTTATAGAACTTATTTTAATTACAAGAAAACTATTAAAAGCACGAATTAATTGCACACACGAATTGGACTCGACGATGATTGACAGTCGCGTTATTGGAAGACATCGCGCCGTCCAAATTAGTCCAAATAACGTCCCTGCGAGCCGCATGCAACGCGAAAAGCGACAAGATCGTTTTTACTAACCGACTGCGCCGAGAGGCCTTCCCCGCAGCCTCTCGGCCTCGATGTAGTGGGCCTTAAGCCAGAGGGCCTGCAACTTGGGATGATTGTTCGGGCTGAAGGTATGGCTCTCCAGGATCCTGTAGAGCTCCTTGAATTGGCCCCGGTGGAAGGCGACGATCGCCTTGGCCTTGAGCACGCTCTCATGCCGGTGCAACCTGGTGCACGCCGGCAGAGACCAGAGGAATCTGCTGAGCCTCTCCACGGAGCCTGCCTGCTGGAGAACCTGGACATTCGACACCATCGCCTTGAAGACGATAGACAGGGGGGGCACACTGTTAGTCGGCAAAACTCATCCCGGGTCTCCTCTTATTCTAGTGTATCTTGTATATCTCGCATTCACCTATCTCTCTATCTATCTCTCTTTCTCTCTGTCTCTCTCTTCCTCAGTCGATCACCTCGATCAAGGAAGACGAGTCGGGCAACGACTATCGATGACTAACGGGTCGCGGTCGGGATGTTTTCGCGCGAAGAGGAGTCGAGGGGATTTTTTGGAGGCATGAGGATTGAAAGGGAGCAAAAGCACGCTGTCCATCTATCAAACATGCCGAGGAGATTGAGTCGAGGAAACATTAAACTTTGATCGATCTTTCGAATTTATGAGTCAAGAAGATTAATCTCAATTTAATTCCCGAATTTCCTTCTCCTAAGTGTGGATTAGGTCGCTGTTGATCCTTCAATTACGCGCGTGTGAGTAGAGAAATTGTGGAGAAAATAAAACGTGGATTAGAATGATATTATAGTAAAGAGCGATTCGTAGAATTGCTCAAAGGAGCTGAAGATAAAAATCACGTGAGTTTGAGCAATAGCTCCAATTAATTTTGTCTTAATTGTTGACATTTGCAAATTCGAAGAAATTTCAAGGAAAACCAGTCGGAATGAATATGAAGTCTCGTTAGGTTAGAGTTACCTTATTAAACCCCTCTTGGAGAAAAACAAGTCGGAACAGCGCGGGCTCAGAGATAGGACTGGTTTACATTTGGTATTTTAAATCCGCTTTCTTTCGAAGGAAGGCTACTACCAGCGACTATTCAGATTAAGTCTTGGTTGGCTTTGTGGTTTGAAGGATTTTTTTTTTACGAAAACCAGCCAGTGCGGAGATCTGGGTTAGATCTGTCACACGCTCGGTTGTTTCTATTTTTTTTCATTTTTTTCTCAATAAAACCAGTCCAGATAAACTTTTAATATCTTATATTATCTTTTCCACCGGAAAGAACCGGAAAACTATCGACCTTGACTCGTCTTCGTTTTCGTTGAAGGTAATTGTTCATTATTTTTCGAGATAAATTTTGAAGCAATAGTGGATCGTAACAAACTGTGTGTGTTTGTTTTTCACAATGTGTCGTTTATTTTTTAATAAATTGACAATTTTCCGGATTATACTGAACTGTTTAAATGAAAAGTGAATTTAAACGAGGCGACATGTTAAATTGGAATAGGAGTCGTTGAGAGTTCGGAGGAAAATAAATCGGGATGCCTAATCCTCTTTCGATCAAATTTCGATTAACGGAATTTCTACGAGCACGCAACATGAGTCTTGTGTCCCAGAGCGATTAAAATAGCCCGATACGTAATTCCGCGAGTCACTTGGAATATCCGGGTGAAATATTTTCGGACAAGAGTCGGCAGTCCTGTGTGTCGAAGTAATGTTAGAATCAATAATCATAGATGACTGCTTCGTATATTTAGTTTATGGATTTCTCTTGCGAGCACATATATATGCACAAGGTGCGGGATGCAACTGAAAGTCGCGAAAGCCTCGAAGTTGAGAACGGGTATCGAAAATATCCGGAGTTCTTACTTGAAATATAACGTTATCACGCTTAAAATTCGCATTGGACGATGGAATTTAGCTGCGAGCTACCGCGTGACGACACTGCGTGATATCTTCAATGTAGAATGCACAGTTTGACAGAACCTGGCGACTGCTGATGTGCAAAACGTCCGACGTATATCTTTGACGTTTAACATTCGTATAATTTCTCGAAACGACCATTAATGAGCTCAAACGATCACGCGTAACACGATCCTAAGTGGAAGCATACGTCAATTTTATTTCGTCGTTATACTTCATTTTATCGATGTGAATCATGTTATCCTTCGTGCGTTTTCTCCCGCCAACATAATTAACGCCGTCGCGGATTCCGTTTAAGAAGTGAGTTATCTATTTGTCGGTGTTCTTGTCCTCGCGTCAGTCATCGACACACACGTCTGTTCGGTCTCTCGCGAGCGCTAGATTTTCGCGTGTCGGTGACGTGCCGTGTCAGTGCAATTCGCGCGCCACATGTATATATAATATATATCGTCTGGATATTACTGTGTTACATATCCTTAATGCATGTACATATGTACCTATAACCGATTTGTGTTAAGTGGACGAGACATATCGTAAAATCGATATGTGCAAATCTTACACGGTATGCAAAATTCTAGACGTTCGTGAATTAATAGTCTGAGAGACTCTAAAGTAAAAGTACCAATTTCAGGGCACGTACTTAATTCTGGGTATTCTTATGATTTTGTTAAATGCAAATATTTAAATTGTTTACATAGAATATACATACATATTCAATATTATGTATGTATGCTGAGAGAAAAAATATGTAAAAAATGAAAAAAGAGAAACA